TGTATGAGCAGTTATGAATTGGCCTACAGCCAGACAGTATAAACACGCTGAGAAGCTCCAGTACATCTCTGTCTTTCAGTATTTCTTTCTTTCTTTCCTTCCTTTCTTTGTCTTCTTTCCTTCTGTCTTGGCTCCGCCCATCCTGACGCGTGATTGGACGGCCGCGGTGTGATTGACAGCTCCAGCGGACACCTGACGCTCGGAGGCTGCGTCATGCGCGAGGGGGACGCTCCGCGGCGCGTTCGGTGACGGATCATCGCGCTCTCCGGTGTCACACCGCACAATGACGCCGTAGGAAGCGCCTTTTCGCCCGTTATTTCATTGTTCCTCCCGCGTCCGCTTGGTGATGGACGCGTCCGCGGCGAAGAGGGGCGCGCCGATGCCGGACATCTGCCCGCTGGACCGGTACGACCCCGCCCGCGCCAAGACCCGCGCCGGTGTGCGCTGGCTGCTCGACCGGAGCCGCGGACCTGAAGGTAAACCTCTGCAGCATCAGCACCACTCTCCGCATCCGCGCGCTGCCGCAGAGACGGAGGAGTGCGTGTGTGAGCGTCAGTGTTGGAGATGAGCGCGTGTACCGGAGCGCAGGGCGTCACCGCGGTGTGTGAGATCCAGAGATTCAGCAGCTGGTCGTACAGCACTGATGAAGCAGCTCCAACACACTAATAGCACACTATCTCCACCAAACACACACACGCACACACACACAGGCGGGGATGCCTTTGTTTTTGCGCTCAGGAGCCTCGCTGGAGTTTCAGATGGAGCGTCTGAAGAGGCCCGGAGCCTTTTGCGTCCCAAAAGCGTTTTTCGTTCAGATAATGTCTTTGATTAGCAATAGTCCCATCGTGACATCTCAAATATTTGGCTCATTCCACCGAATGGGTGCCATTTGCTTCCAAAACGCTTAAAATTTTTTTTTTATTTTAAGACTGAATCTAGTAATACGAATATTTAATTATTGAAAATCTGTCACAAATAATGCCTTTTGAGTTTTTCTGTGGATGTTGTTTGCTTTCAGTGCAGGCCACACTCCACTGACACAGGACAGAAATGGCAAGAAGCCTGTATTTTCTGTCATACTTGCAGGAATGTAATATAAGACAACAATGCAGGAACAAAAACATTGTCAGTGTGGATAGAAAAATATAGAGAAAAGAAAAAAAAGATTTCAAATTGATCTTGATTAATATGGACGAAGCCTGATATTTGCATTAATAAATCAGATGACACTGTCCTGGAGACAGAAATGGCACCCATTCGGTGAATGACCCGTGTGTGTGTGTGTGTGTGTGTGTGTGTGTGTGTGTGTGTATGTGTGTGTGTGTATTATATATATATGTTTGTGTGTGTATGTGTGTGTGTGTGTGTGTATATATATATATGTGTGTGTGTGT